TCAAGCAACTAAAACAACACTAACCTATTCTAGACTCTATCTACAAAACATGAAACAATAGTGACCATGGGTGGTGTTAGTTGTTAGTATTTCAAGCATGCATCTTCAATTGCTTTATCTTTCCTGAACCATCACTATGTACAAGGAAAAACTAATCAACCTGTGAACTTTGAGCCTCAGACAATGTGTCAAAGTGCTACCCTCAGCTGAGTGCACTTGCATTTGACTCAAAAGCTCAACTTATATTCAACCTTACAGTTCATGTGCCTTCACTAGAAAGAAAGTCCCAAAATCACAATATGTACAATGACGACAAAAAAAAGGGACGAATTCACAAAGACACTCACTCTCAGAAAAGAGTTTCAAGTGTTTCAACATACCATACCATAGGCTTGCCCTTATTTTAATTCATCGCTTTATTCTAAGAACGCTCGGTTGGAGATCCCATAAGGACTTTTTAAGCTTTTAATGTAGGTTTAGGGAAGGGTAGGATAAGCATTTGGATACAAGTGGCTTCACCCTCCTTGAACACTACTCACATTTTTCATTCTTTTGCACTATGTTTCTTTTCAAACCACGATGCCTCGTTGGCATCTAGTTCCTAATGTTGAACCACCTTAAATACCTCTCTAATTTTCTTCAAGGCTCCATAATTTATATACATACAAATATTTCTCTTTTTCTCTTTTTTTTTTCGTTTTTCTTTTTGGAGCTTGAATAGTTTAGCACAAACACTTTGAGGTATAAGATACTACACTCAATGTACAACCTTACCAATTTCCATTTTGACATCACACCCCCAACTTAGGCTTTTAGCCTCATTCTCAATGTTCAAGGAGGGTCGGGTTCAACAGAGGAATATTTTTTTATTTTACAAAAAGGGAAAGGTTTGTAATGAGGTAGCCAAAGAAAAGGTTAAAGGCTCAAATGGGGTGACTAAGGATATTAACTGCACAATGGGTGGCTTGAAAGGCTAACTGGCTTGAAAGATCACAAAGACTGCCTAAGGTCATCTCTCCAACCAAGTGTAATTATTATAAGCATCGAAAAACCAACCGGGCAAGTTCTAGATGGCAGAAGCAAACACAAGAAATATTTACACAAAGAACTCACACACATGGCACACGAACTGTTTGGCTCACATAGTTTGAAGCCCTCGAGTCAACACTTGGCAACTCAAAGCTTTCATCATATGTACAAGTATAACTCTAGGTAGACATAGAGTCACAGAGCGAGCCTCAAGTTCACACAGTTGATATCTTTCTCTAGAAGGGTATATGCTATATACAGACACACATGCTTGAGACTAGACAATTACACCAAACAGGTCAAGATGTTTCATTCTACTGTCCTGGTTCTACTATTACACCCTTGGAAAAGAACCCGGCGAAGAAAAACCAAGGGGAATTCATTGCTAATTACTAAAGATGAATGACTATCTATTTTTTTTTACATGCATAAGGGTATCATATTCACAAGGGTACCATAACTTATGCATTGAAATCACAAAAACACTAATATAAACATGATCACAAACTACACAACACAGTTTCTGTACAGAAACCATACTAACATACACAGAACACAACATACACATATGTCCAACAGTTGCTAATGTCACAAAAGTACCAATGTCACAACAGTACTAACAAGGCTACCACCACCCCCAACTTAACAACATGCATTGTCCCCAATGCATCAAAAGCAAAAGCATAGAGTGTAAGGGGCTCCCTGAGGCGCACTAAGCACTATGGGAGTCAGTAGCCTGCTCAGTGATGGCGGGGTCACTCTCCGATGCTGAAGCTGGGACCGATGAGAGCTCGGTCTGAGGAGGGACCTCGACTGCAGTAGGGATCTCTGGCTGGTCAAGAACTGGAGCTGGAGCTGGGACCTGTGAGCTGCTAGCCTCGCCCACTGATGGCTGAGTGGCCGATGAATCTGCAGGGGCGGCCAAATCTGCTAGCGAATGTTCAATTGCTGTCTGAAGTTCTGCTTGCTCCACCTCCTCACTTGTAGGAACCACAACCTGCTTGCCCTTCTCCTGAGGGCCATCATCCTCCGAGGACCATGAACTTTCCTCCTCCTCACCCTCATCTGCCTCCTCATCCTCAGACTCAGTAGATCGTCCGGAAACCTCCTCATCAGGAATGTCAATGCGTACAGGAGGAGCTGGAGGTTGGGAAGTCCCGGCTGTAGGAGGGGCACCATCAGTCATAAGTGCAGAGAAGTCAAGGCCCAAGTCCGGAGCTGCTGTGCCTGTAACCTGACCACCATCTGTGGGGAGGAGGGATGATAGATCGAACTCCAAGTTCTGCATCTTGTGGAGCTCGGTCTTCATAGAAGCAACCTCCTCCTTGAGGCCAGGCAACCCACTAACTTCACCCCGCTCTATCTTCTCCACCCTCAACTCAAGTTGCTGCAAACGATCCCCATACACTAATTGTTGTTTTTGGAGAGCTGTCACTGAGGATTGCATAGGAGTAAGGGCTTGTTTGATGAGATTGGGCAAGGTCTTCAAGAGCTGGTCTACCTTGGCATTGGCATGCTGAGCCAGGAGACCAAGCTTCGAGACGGCTGGAATGGCAACAGAAGTCTGAACAGTGGTGGACTGAGAGGTAGGCTCGGAAGCAGAAGTGGAGGCCACTGTAACCTGAGGAGTCAACGGAGTCTGGGGGTCGGAGTGCTCTACATCAATCGGATCCTGAGCCTGAACCTGTGGTGGGGTAGCAGCATCACTAATACGTGTGATATCAATGTCCCTCGTCTCCTTCCCGGTTTTGTCATAGTGTGGCATGAGAGGAACTTTCACAGCTTTACAGAGAGCTGTGATCAGGCAAGGGAAAGGAAGTGAAGTGGCCTGCTGCTTTGCCCGGATCCCTATTTCTTGGAAAATCAGAGCTCCAACATCTATCTTGATACCCGTCATGATACATGCAATGAGAAGAGCCTTCTCAATGGCTATTTCAGTTTCATTCCGAGTTGGTACCAATCGAGAAGTAACAAAACTGAGCCAGTAGCGACCCTCTCTCGTGAGATCTTCCTTGTATATCTTGTGCCGAGGGTTTATCCAAGCAGGGGTCCCCTTTGCTATCACCGAAGCAATCCACCCACGCTCATTCTCCCTATTTGCAAATTTAGCATCGTACTCAGCTGTGCCCGCTCTCCAGCCAGGGATATACAATTCATTTATGGCGTCACTGTTGCAAAACACACTCTGCCCCCGAACAAGGACAGTGTCAACAAAGATTCTGTTGCGTTTGTGGTGCGCTGTCCTAGAAGCTCCATATGATGCATAAAATTCCCGCACAAGGGTTTCATTGTACTCAGTGGGTGGCTCAGTGAAGCACTCCCATCTCCGTGCTTTTATGTTCTCCAGGATGTGGGGGTACTGGTCTTTCAGCCCGTTCAAGCTCAATTGTTTTTCGGCCAGGATTTTGCGCTTGGTGAGCCCTTCTCTGTATAGTTCCCTGGACCCCTCAACCCCAAATCGGAGGTGGAAGTCTTCTCCACGTTTCCTTCTTTCTTCAGCCTCCAAATTAACTGAGGGCCTGACCTCCTCTTCTTCATACTGGGAGGGGCTTAGCACATTTTCTTCCGTCCGTGAACGTTTTGCTTGTGATGCCTGGCGACTGGAGGAAACCCTCTTTGATGCAGAGGATGAGTGTTTCTTTGGAGCCATATCTGCACAACGGTGAATTATGAGTGACAACATTAGCAATACTGAGAAAGAACAGAAGAATTTAAAGGAAAAACTCGAAATGCAACATGATCTGCGGTCGCAAAACCACAATGCGGACCGCAGAATCGTCGCAAATCTGTTAGTCTCAGTGGAACTCAGTCTGCGGTGGGTTATGCGGTCGCATAACCACTATGCGAACCGCATAGCCATCGCAGAATTGACTTACCCATAACATACATCACAAAATGCGATCGCAGACTCCACCGCAAAGTGGGGAATGCGATCGCAGAACAACCGCAAAATGCATGGCTCCTAACTGGGTGGTCTGTGGCACTCTGCGGTAGCTTTGCGATCGCAAAGTTACTGCATTTCACCATCTTCATCGGAAGATCTAGGGTTAAGTTTTGCGGCCAAAATGCGGACCGCATTTTGACTTTGCGGGCCGCATATGCCTTCTTCTTCGAGATTCAAGCAATCAACTCAACAATGGCGGACCTATTTCCTTCTACCCATTACCCCTGATAGATTTCCAACCCAGAATGACTATGCTACGAAAAAGAAATAACTATACAAAGCAACATATAATCACACATTTTTTTTAGAACGGTACGCACGAGAATCAACGAGCACACAACAAGGAATCTTGAACAAGAAGATTGGGAAAAAGGGTACATACCAGCGAGGCTTAGTGTACACACTACAGAGATGAGATTTGGTCTCTTGAACGATTCGATTCCTAGCCGTGTGTGTTAGCCCCCGTTGTTTGCTTCCCTGTTCGTTTTTTTTACTTTTTTTTTGTTTTTGTTTTGTTTTGAGTGAGTTAGAGATGAGAGAATGCGGCCACATACCTGTTGACTTTGCGATTTGTAGGGCACCGCATAACACACAGTGCGACCGCATATGTGTTATGCGGTAGGTTCAAATGAGATGCCGAAGAGTCATAAATGCGGTGCACAATGCGGTCGCATAAGTGAAATGCGGTCTGCATAGTGCACAACCCCATCGCATTCTGACAAACAATTTTAGCCAAACTCACTGCTTGGGTGTGCGACCAAAATGCGGTCCGCATAGTTAAAATGCGACCGCATTTTTGCAGCAAACTTCACACATCTATTTTTCTTACCTTTCTCATGCAGTCCCACCATGTGTTGTGATCTTTCGAACCCCCTGCACTCTAACACACACTTTAAATTGCTCAAGTAAATCTATCTATCAAAAATTAAAAATTCAAAGAATAAAAGAGTGTTACCACACATGGGTTACCTCCCATGAAGCGCTTGATTTAACGTCGCAGCATGACGAAGTTGATGTTCCTTTGGATTCACTCAATGGTCGGACACGGACCATCTTTTAAAGCCAGCTGCTCCACCAAATGTTTTTCTCCATCTGTGCCCAGGTAATGCTTGATGTGTTGGCCATTTACCTTGAAAGTCCGGGACCCATCTTCCGATGCCAGTTCCACAGCTCCATAAGGAGAGACGTTCACCACTTTGAACGGACCGAACCATTTGGATTTTAGCTTGCCCGGAAACAATTTGAGCCTGGAGTTAAAGAGCAAGACCAAGTCACCCGACTTGAACTCCCTTTCAAGATCTTCTTGTTGTGGACGAACTTCATCCTTTCCTTATACAAAGCTGCACTTTCATATGCATGGAAACGGAATTCCTCCATTTCATTGAGTTGTGTCAACCTCAAATTTGCAGCTTCAGCCCAATCCAAGTTCAACCTTTTCAGAGCCCACATGGCTTTGTGTTCCAATTCTACAGGTAGATGACAAGCTTTTTCGAAGACTAACCGATATGGAGAAGTACCAATATGAGTCTTGTGCGCCGTGCGGTATGCCCACAATGCGTCATCTAGCTTCGTCGACTAGTCTGTCCTGTTTGCATTAATAGTTTTTTCTAGAATGCTCTTGATCTCCCGATTGTAAACCTCAACTTGACCACTAGATTGGGGATGATAAGGTGTGGCCACCTTGTGCTTGACGCTATACTTTTCTAGTAGCCCCGTAAAAGCCTTGTTACAAAAATGAGACCCACCATCAATTAGAATGGCCCTAGGAGTGTCAAACCGAGTGAATATGTTTTTCTTCAAGAATGCAGTCACACTTCTTGCTTCATTGTTAGGCAAAGCAATTGCTTCAACCCATTTGGAAACATAGTCCACAGCTACCAAGATGTATTTCATCCCACAAGAGCTCACAAATGGACCCATAAAGTCAATTCCCCACACATCGAAGATTTCTATCTCCATCACAAAGTTCATAGGCATTTCATGCCTCTTGGAGATTGATCCTTGCCTTTGACATTGGTAACAAGCCTTGACCAATTGATTGGCATCATGATAGATTGTCGGCCAATAGTAACCACATTCAAGTACTTTGGCTGCCGTTCGATTTCCCCCATGATGACCCCCAACCGGCGAGTCATGGCATGCTTTTAGAATAGGCATAACTTCTTCTTCTGGAACACATCTTCGGATGATGTTGTCGGCATAAAGACGGAACAAGTATGGCTCTTCCCAATAATATTGCCGACAATCTCTCAAGAACTTCTTCTTTTGATAGGATTCCAAACCCTCCGGAATAAGGTCACTCACCAAATAGTTAGTAATATCGGCGTACCAAGGAGCAAAAGTGCTAGAAAGTGCCAAGATATGTTCATCCGGGAATGCATCATTGATCTCAAGATCTCCCTTTGGTCTCCCGGCTTCCTCAAGCCTTGATAAGTGATCCGCCACTTGATTTTGAGTTCCCTTGCGATCCTTGACCTCGAAGTCAAACTCTTGCAACAATAACACCCATCGAATCAACCGTGGCTTTGCATCCTTCTTTGCCATAAGGTAGCGAAGAGCAGCATGATCCGTGTACACTATCACCTTGGATCCCAACAAATAAGCTCGGAACTTCTCAAAGGCATAAACAATGGCAAGAAGCTCTTGCTCGGTTACCGTGTAATTCATTTGCGCCCCATTGAGTGTCTTGCTAGCATAATAGACCGGGTGGAGAACCTTGTTGTGACGTTGGCCAAGCATTGCTCCAATAGCTACACCACTAGCGTCACACATGAGCTCGAAAGGAAGAGACCAATCGGGTGCGACAATAATAGGTGCCGTGGTGATCCTTAGCTTCAATTCCTCAAAGGCTTTGAGGCATTTCTCATCAAACATAAATTTGGCGTCTTTCTCAAGGAGCTTGCACATAGGATTTGCAATTTTGTAAAAATCCTTGATGAACCGCCTATAAAATCCTGCATGCCCTAAGAAACTTCGAACACCCTTGACGGAAGTAGGTGGAGGAAGCTTGGAAATAATCTCGATCTTAGCCCGTTCAACCTCAATGCCATGTTTTGAAATTTTATGCCCCAATACGATGCCTTCATCCACCATGAAATGACATTTCTCCCAATTTAGCACAAGGTTTGTTTCCTCACATCTCTTAAGCACTTGTCCAAGATTGTTAAGACAATGCTCAAAAGAGTCACCTACTACTGAGAAGTCATCCATGAAGACCTCTAGAAAATCCTCCACCATGTCGGAGAAAATGGACATCATGCACCTTTGAAAAGTAGCCGGAGCATTGCACAAACCAAATGGCATCCGACTAAAGGCAAAAGTTCCATAGGGACAAGTGAATGTTGTTTTCTCTTGATCCTCCAATGCGATGTTGATTTGGTTGTAGCCGGAATATCCGTCAAGGAAACAATAGAATGACCTTCCCGCTAGCCGATCAAGCATTTGATAAATAAAAGGCATAGGGAAATGGTCTTTGCATGTGGAACTGTTGAGCTTCCGATAATCCATACACACCCTCCAACCGGTCACCGTTCTTGTTGGGATGAGCTCATTTTTATCATTTTCACTTATGGTCATGCCTCCCTTTTTCGGTACACATTGCACCGGGCTCACCCACGAACTATCGGAAATAGGGAGACAACCCCGGCATCCAACCACTTGATGATTTCTTTCTTTACCACCTCTTGCATTGACGGGTTCAACTGTCGTTGATGTTCCACACTTGGCTTCGTGTCACTCTCCAATTGGATCTTGTGTTCATAAATTCCCGCGGGAATCCCTCGGATGTCCGCAATTGTCCATCCAATGGCTTGCCTATGCTCCTTCAAGACTTCCAACAATTGTTCCACCTACACATCATTTAACAAAGACGAAACGATCACGGGTAAAGCATCATTAGAGCCAAGAAATTTATACCTTAGGTGCGGAGGCAGTGGCTTGAGCTCTAGTTGTGGTGGCTCAATGATTGATAGCTTTGCGGGAGGTGTGGCCCTATTCTCCAAGTCAAGCGAAAGCTTTGACGGAGTATAAGTGTAGGATCCAAGACCCTCCAATGCATTTACCGACTCCATATACCCATCCATGTCTTCACCATCAAAGTTTACCAAAATAGCCGCTAATGCCTCACCAAGGCATTGTTCTTCCATTTTCATTTCGACCGCACCATCTACCTCATCAATAACATCAATCACTGAAATGCTCTCATACTCATGGGGTAGTTTCATACCCTTGCTCTCTTGAAATGTGACTTCTTCATCATTTACCCGAAATTTAATTTTGTTCCGCTCCGAATCCATGAGTGCCCTTCCCGTGGATAGGAATGGTCTCCCAAAATGATGGGGATTTCTTTATCAACCGCACAATCAAGAATTACAAAATCGGCGGGCAAATGAAACTTCCCCACTTTTACAAGTACATCGTCAACAATTCCTATCGGGCGTTTGATTGACAGATCGGCCATTTGCAATCTCATACTAGTGGGCCTTGGCATACCTAACCCTGCTTGCTTATAGATGGCAAGAGGCATTAAGTTGATGCTAGCCCCATTATCACATAGGGCTCTTGCAAAGTCACGGGCCCCGATGGTACAAGGAATGGTAAAAGCTCCCGGGTCTTATTTCTTTTGGACTTTTGATGTGGCAATAATAGAGCTAACCCGGTGAGTCATGTTTACTACCTCATTCTTTGTGGTCTTCTTTTTGGTGATCAAATCCTTTAAATATTTAGCAAACCCCGACATCTCTTGAAAAGCTTCCACAAATGGGATATTCATTGTTAATTGCTTGAGAATGGCGTAAAAATTTTCAAGTTTGCTATCATCAATCTTTCTCACGAGCCTCTGAGGAAATGGGGGAGGAGGTCTAGGAATAGCTGGAAGAGCGTTTGGTGTCTCTTTTACCTTTTCCCTCACCTCTTCCCGGTTCTCTTTTTGCACTTTCAACTCCTCCGGAATCTTTTCAATCTCGACAACGCTTGGCTCTTCAACCTCAACCCTTTGTTCGAACTCTTCTGCTTCAACCGTTTGTTCACCCTCTCCGTGTAGCACTTTCCCACTCCTAGTAGTGATCGCCATGATGTGAGAAGTTGGGCCACTCCCGCCTATTGGATTTGCAACCGTGTCCCCTAAGTCAAAATGCACGTGACGCAGATAAGCATTCCTACTAGGGATCCAGCATGAGGTCAAGTTATTCTAGGTTCAAAACCTGGGTATAGGTTCTAGACTGTGTACCCGAGTGGACAACTCGAGTCGAGGAGGGGGCTACGTACCGGGAACCAAAAGGCCATCTGGCTTAGTAACTTGTCCGGCCTCTTTCTTACTTTGAGGTATGATACTAACAAATAGGGAGTCTCCACCAGTGAGCACATCCCTGGAGGTGAGAGGAGAAGGGTTTCGCCACAGTTTATATACAATTCAGATAATATCAAAGCGGTAAAAAGCAACATCTTGCACATTTAGCATGAAACATGAAGGAAAATCAGATAAAGCCAAACATAACAATTATTCTAAGCTCGAATTCTTAAACCCTGAACCGAAGTTCTGGGTTTGTGTCCCCATCAGAGTCGCCAGAGCTGTCACACCTCCTTTTTCACTACACCCGCAAAGGCGTATAAGGAGTTTTTCCAATTAAAGGACAATCGGAACGGGATTCGTTTATTAAGAGATTCAGAGTCGCCACTTGGGAGATTATGGTGTCCCAAGTCACCAGTTTGAATCCCGAATCGAGGAAAAGGTTTGACTCTGTATTATAGTCGCGAACCAGAAATCCGGGTAAGGAATTCTGTTAACCCGGGAGAAGGGGTTAGGCACTCCCGAGTTCCGTGGTTCTAGCACGGTCGCTCAACTGCAATATTTGGCAAAATTTGAGCATCTTGGGCGTGACTTGAACATCAATGACGGTGAATTCTTCATGAGGGGAGTCCGGGGACCATGTGGTATAAATTTGAAGTGAGTTGGTACAACTAGGGTTTTGGCCGGAAAACTTCAAACTAATATTCGAGAAGTTCCGGCCATGTTCGAGGGATGGAACCTGGGGGGTCTGATAGAGGATGTCACGGCAGTTATACGGTGTTAATTTGGTGGTGATTGGGTTATTTTGGGTCATGGCCGGAAAAACTTCGATTCAAGATTCGAAGTGTTTGAGTAGGATTCGAGGGAAACTGGGGCTGGATATGGATAGAGGAAGAGGAGGGAGCCTAGGGTGTTATTTTTGGGTCGTCTAGAGTCGGCGCCGCCACCGGAGACGGTGAGGATTGGGTGGCGGCTGGCTAGGGTTTCGGGGTCGATTTTAGAGAGATAAGATGAGGGAGACGATGAGGGGGGTATGGGGTTGGATAGGACAATTTTATTTAAGGGACTTGGGCTTCCCAGCCGTTAGATGAGGATAACCTCGACGGCTGGGATTAAAAATGGGAAACGACGTCGTTTTGGTGAGGGGGAGGGCCGGACCAGG